TCCTGAGAGACCTTTGCAGGATCCTGAGAGACCTTTGCAGGATCCTGAGAGACCTTTGCAGGATCCTAAGAAACCTTTGCAGGATTCTGAGAAACCTTTGTAGGATTCTGAGAAATCTTTGTAGGGTCCTGAGAGACCTTTGTAGGGTCCTGAGAGACCTTTGTAGGGTCCTGAGGAACCTTTGCAGGATTCTGAGAGACCTTTACAGGGTCCTGAGAGACCTTTGTAGGGTCCTGAGAAACCTTTGCAGGATCCTGAGAAACCTTTGTAGGGTCCTGAGAGACCTTTGTAGGGTCCTGAGAAACCTTTGCAGGATTCTGAGAGACCTTTACAGGATCCTGCAAAGTTTCTCAGGATCATTTTATTTAGTTTTTCCTCATGTCCCACATATGAGCTTCGTTCATTATAACACCTAAAACCGTACATTATGTGAAGGTTTAAAACAGGTTTCCAGTTAAGTTGTCTAAAACATTATATTGAGACAATAAACGTCTTCATCTTAAGGTGGGCGGGAGAACGATGTTGCCAATCCGCTGGATGCCCCCAGAGAGCATCATGTACAGGAAGTTCACAACAGAAAGCGACATCTGGAGCTTTGGTGTGGTTCTCTGGGAAATCTTCACCTACGGGAAACAACCGTGGTATCAGCTGTCCAACAGCGAGGTAAGTCTGAGTACTGCCACGTAGAAGGTGCACAAACAGGTACAACCCCTGAACCTGAATAAGTGTAGATGTTATAATGAATCAAACACCTGTAATTCTGTTTTGATATATTAATGTTACCCAAAGATTATCTTCTTGAAGCAACCATGTTCTAGAAACCCTGACTGTGTAAAATCTGCCAGACTGTTGAACAAGTTTATTAAAGTGCTGTTAAATGTTTGTCCCTCAGACTGATAGAACAAACTGTCCTGATTTTTATTACAAAAAAGGGGGGAAATATTTCCAAAGAAGAGTGTTTATCCTTGAAATCTTCACAAACTAAATCTGAATAGCTGCATACCAACAGACACATGGCAGAAATATGCTGCTTTTTAAAAACCAACAGACATCATAAAAACATCATTCTCACCAAAACAAATGAGTAAAATATGAAAACATGTAGAATTACAGTGTGTTGGGAAAAAAAGTCCTAAATCGGTTTTGTCTGAATTTTGAACGAACGGTTTAGAAATTTAGATTTTTTTAAAAGACTAGTTTACCTTCTGGTTTTGATTTGGAGCAAAAACTAAAATTATTTTTTAAAAATCTGTTTTAATTGACTGATTATTTCTAACAAATAATATATTAATACTTGATGAAGTTGAATTTGTCTAAACATTACAGCACTGATTCTTCAGTCTGCGCTACTTTCTTATCTCAGATCTTTGAACTTTCAGAACACTGGGTCTTATATTCTCTGCACTCCTAAATGAATCAATAAGTTCATAGTAATTAAGGGCGGTCCAGTCTGGCCTTTTCAGCTTAAGCACCAAGAAGTGGGTCTCCACTGTGACCACAGTGCTGCTATTACAGGCCGTAAGCCTCTCCTCTTTCAAGACAAGGGTGGATCGCTTTTCCTTTGCACTCAATTCTAATCTCATTGGCTTCATTTTTGCCATAGGCCAACAAAACTTAACCTGGTTATCTTAATCCGTCTCGCCCAATGAGGGACAGGTGGAATTATCCTGTTTAAATACTGAGTGTCAGAGATAAATCACCTCGAACTCCCGGCCGTTCGGAGTCTCGGTGCTGGGCTTTGGGCCTGAGCATCGGGTCATTTTGGTGTGAAGTGTTGACACACCTCCTCTGCTCTCAGGTTAACAGCAGTGAAGAGACAAATTCGCCACGCTTTCACTGAAGAGAGAAATCCCCTCTTGTCCTCAGCTGTGATTTATTCACTGAACGGTGCGAGGCTGTGAACTGCATCAGTCACTGCAGCCATTAGTGTCAGAGCGTGGTCACGTTTCGGCTGCTTTTTCTTTTGGTCCAGAGGCTGCAGCTAACGCACTCAGAACAGCAGATCTGGATTTACTGAAGCTGTTTAAAATATGTTCGACGTTGGAGCAGGACTTGATTCAAAAAGTCTTAATGTGTACATAATTTTATTTATCACTGATCTGTGTGAAAATCCTGTCTCACTCATGTTTAGTATTGATTTAATGCAGATAGTTTAGCTTTTTCAGCCTTTCAAGCACCACAAAGTAACAAATGCTGCTTTGCTAAAGTCTTTTTTCTGCCTTTTTTATACAATTCACACAAATATTGTTCTGTACTAACCTATTCTATGACTTTTAGATCCTGAAATCAATCCTCATTATTGAAGATGATTAAAAGAAAACAATTATTTAAAGTTAACAACACTAAGCATTAGTGTCATGAGTATTCTTTAAAAAATTGAGCTTTTTATTGGTAAAACATTTGTTTACTGATACTGAGCAGTTTGTACAGTTTGAAAAAACAAAGTGAAAGCAGCCTGATTCTGAAGAAAACCTTGAAACAAAACTTTCATAAAGTCTGAAAAGTGCTGACTCATTGTTAGAACGTCATTCAGTCAGGGGCGGAGCCAGGGGGTGGCCAGGGGTGGCCATGGCCACCACAGACAAATCTTTGGCCACCCTGCTGTACACACCCCTTCCACAGTGAAACAACTTTTAGGGGTGTAATAATCCTCCTGAACAGTTGGTGGCAGTGATTAACAGTTTGAAACATCACCAAGCTCAAAGAAGTGACAAAGAAATGATTGTTTTCTTTATATACAGAACATATACCTATGTATTCTGATCTATGGTGACAAATGTTTTTGTTTTGTTTTTTGTCATCATAACACAGTGTCATTTTATGTTCTGAAGGCTGCATGATGCTCTGTCCCTTTTGGCTAGGAGTAGACCTATCACTAAATCAGAGAGTGAAACATCCCTCTAAATTCACTGTTGGTGGTTATCAATATTGCACCTGTTCATTGGGTAAAGTTATTATTATTAGTTTTAAACATGCAGTTGAAGGTCATCATTATTTGGCACAATGACCTGTTACAATTACAAACAACACCCCTAAAGTCATTGGATATGACAAATTGTATCACATTAAATAATCTTATCTCAGGTGTAGCAGTGACTTTAAAAACAGGATAATGAAACTAGTTTAATGAAGGATCTGTCTGTGAAATAATTATTAAATCAAGTGTTTATTTATGTAGGTAAAAGTATGTTAAGCAACCTAGTAAAATACACCAGAATGCTGGAAGTTGCATCTATTTTGTTCAAAATTTTCTGGGGGGAGGACCCCCAGACCCCTCAACAGTGTGTCCCCACACTTTATAGTTCTGACACCATGTTTATAAGGTTCTCACTGCCTGTATAAGGACATAAGGAAATGACCAAAAACAAATATATGCAGAAACTTTCAAGTAAAAAATGATGTAATTTTCCTGGTCACCCCTGTGTGAGTAGTGGTCCCCGTTTGGCCACCCCTGAAAAAAAAGTCTGGCTCCGCCACTGCATTCAGCATCAGTGGTTTTCTGTAGGAATTCCTCTGTCTCTCTCATGGTTCTGAAGGAATTTAGATCCATTTTTTTCACATTGCTTCAGTACTTGGAGGTTTGCAAACATTGATCTCTGCTCCGCTCCTTGTCAAAAACATCTGTGACCTTAGCTGGCTTTATATGCCCCATTTAAAGAGGGCACATCCTGCAAAATCCACTTTTTTTGCAGTTAGATACTTTTTTTTGTGAACTTAGATTCTAGGAGAACAGAAAATTTGAGTTTAGTCTCTCCTGGTGCTGCAAAGATTCACTTCAGCAGTTTTATTGTCATTCAGGATTGTATAGTATACTATACAAAACTGAATGAAATTTCGTTTCATTTCTCCACAACAATACGATGCTAAATC